CTTCCAGGCCAGAGGAGACCCAAGTTTGATTCCTGGCCAGTGCACCTCAAGTGCAGCCAGTATCCATCTGTCAGTGATGGCTTGTGTGTTACTATGATGCTGAACAGGTTTCAAGAGAGCTTCTAGACTAAAATGGACTAGGAAGAAAGGCCTACAGATCTACTTGCGAAAATCAGCCGAAGAATACCCTACAGATCACAATGGTCCAATCCACAACAGATCATGGGGATGGTGCAGAACCAGGCAACATTTCTTTCCATTGTGCATAGGGTCACCATGAGTTGGGGACAAATTACGCCAGTTAACAACAAAAACAGTGAAGAGACACACTGTGCAGTGACTGGAGAGTATGCCTGAGAAAGACATGGCCTCCAGGGGTAAGGGACAATTCACAAAAGAAATATTTAGTCATCAGTTTCTGTTAAAAGTCCAGAATGCTCCCTTGGAGGTATTTATTGCTCTGAGCAATTCTGATCATTCGCCACACATGCCACATTTTTCAACTGAGGGAGGTGTTAAATGAATTCTACCCATGGTGTCCAATGGGAAGAAGGAAGTTAAAGAGGAAGACACTTGTGGAGAAGAGAATATTCTCCGTTAGATCCTTCATCCCCCTTGCTCTGATTCTCCACCATGCAATCAATCTCTCTAACACCAGCCCCATTTCCACAGCATCCAAGGCAGAGCACACCACCACCAAGTCAATTGTGAACAGCTCTCGCTCCCAGGCACAAATGAAAGCTCCGTGAAGTTTATCACGGACTGTGTCTTCGTCATCTAGTGTTGCTATAACAGAAATACCGCAAGTGGACGGCTTTAACAAAGAGAAATATATTCTCTCACAGTCTAGGAGGCTAGAAGTCCACATACAGGCAGCCAGCTCCAGGGGAAAGTTATCTCTCTCTCTGTCGGCTCTGGGGAAAGGTCCTTGTCAACAATCTTCCCGAGTCTAGGAGTTTCTCAGCGCAGGGACCTTGATTCAAAGGACGTGCTCTTCTCCCAGTGCTGCTATCTTGGTAGCAGGAGGTCCCCCTCCTCTCTGCTCACTTCTCTCTTTTATATCTCAAAAGAGATGGACTCAAAATACAATCTAATTCTGTAGATTGAGTCCAGACTCAGTAACACAACTACCTCTAATCCTGCCTCATTCACATAATAGAGGATTTACAACGCACAGGAAAATCACATCAGATCACAAAATGGTAGACAACCACACAATACTGGAAACCATGACCTAGCCAAGTTGATATACATTTTGGGGGGACACAATTCAATCCATAACAGACTGCCTTATGCAACTTACTAATGCAAGCCAGTCTCTTCCCCACCCCACCACTGAAACCTTGATTTTCTGTTTTTAGAAAGGAGGAGGCGGGGTTCAAGACCTAAAATGATAAAGACCAGATGCAAACGGTACTGATCACACAAAAAAAGTAAGGTCCTGTCTCGTGACCGCAGACACTTCCAAATCACCACCGACAACACCTACAGACCTCTTACTGAACTCTCCTGCCCATGTCAGAGCAGCTTTATCTATTTTGATGCCCATCTTTCCTTGTAGTTTTGCAATCCATCATTTGTAGGGTTTAAGTTCTTATGGGCAAGGGGGCAGATTCCATTGTAGCTTCATGTCTAGTCACTTAAATTCATCAGGCATTTATTGAACAAGAACCACGTGCATGGATGACTCTGAATAGGACCCCGGAAGAATGAAGATGAAGGAAGATTATGTTCATTGACCGATGTCAATGAGTACCTTGTAGGCACTAAGTAAATGTTAACTGCTCAGTGTTGCAATATGTAAACATTACAAGTTTTTATTCTAAAAGTATAGAAAGTATTTAACCATAGAGGACCATTTTAAAAAATATGCCCTAGAACAGCAGTATACAGTGTACGTACACACACACACACACACACAGGATGGGATGGACATTCATCATAACAACTATGATGGAACAGTAGTTATTTCTGGGTAACAGGAGTACAGGCAATCTTGATTTTGCTCTTTATACTTTTTTGTGTGTTCCAATTTTTTCTACCATGAAAATTAATTACTTGTACTTTCAGAAAGAGCAACAATAAAGGTTATTTTGAAAAAGCAAATAAAGCACAGTAATATTCCATATACAAATACTGAGAATAAATGAAAAAGGGACAGCATCAGAATTTTAAGCCCCAAAAGAGCTCCTGTATTAAACCCAGATACCTTACTCCTCGTCTCTTCCTCAGAATGCTACTGTGCCTATCTGTGTGAGTGGGTGTGTGTAAGGCTGAGATTATCCAATCTACAATATGAGATGCTTTGTGGGATCTTCGCTGGTACTGGGAGGGGAGGGGGTGCAGGGAAGATTGGACAAGATCCAAGAGAAAGATCGTAATTTTTCAGAGCAGCTGAAACTGGGGTACAGCAGTGTGGCTCCTGATCAGGAAAAAAAAACCAGAACCAAACCCACTGCCATTGAGTCGATTACAACTCATAGCAACCATACTGGACAGAGTAGAACTGCCCTATAAGATTTCCAAGGAGCAGCTGGTAGATTCAAACTGCTGACCTTTTTGGTTAGCAGCCATACCTCCCAACCACTGCACCACCATGATTCCTCTGATCAGAAAAGCTATCCCCAAATAGGAGACCATGGAACAGAGAAACCACCAGTGGGTTCCAGAGGAGCCCTACACTGAAAATCAGAAGGGCAGAGCTCCCAAATGCAGGCATTGGCTTGTGAGCTGGGTGCTTCTCACACAGGCAATTCTGTATACTGATTCCTAGGTGAAAAGATCCTGGTACCACAATGGTTAAGCACTCAGCTGCTAATCTAAAGGTCAGTGGGTCAAATTCACCCCGGGACTCTACAGGAGAAAAGACCTGGCAATCTACTCTCGTAAAGTTTACAGCCTAGAGAACCCTATGGGGCAGTTCTACTCTGTCCTGTAGGGTCGCTATGAGTCGGAATCAACTCCACAGCACCCAACAACAACAACAGCATTGCTAGGTGAATAGCAGCGAAGATTAACTCATTTATTTAGTAATGATTACTGATTAATTCTTATACCTCTTGGAGCCCAGAATGCCACACATAATTCTCCACAAACATGGTAGTCTAATTTTTTAGATTAAAAAGGAAGGAACTAATTTCAAATATATATACATACACACACACACACACACACACACACACACACACACACACGAGAATGAGGCACCAAACCAGAAACAGTACAATAAGGGGAGAAGGGACAGCTTCCAGCTCAGAAATACTTAATAAGCACCTACTAAAGGAGCTGTGGAAAGCTGAAAAATGACCCCCTGAAACATACCCAGGAGGCCTGGTGGCACAAGGCGGGTAAGCATTCAGCTGCTAACCAAAAGGTTGGAGGTTTGAACATACCAGCCGTAGAATTGCCCTATAGGGTTTCCAAGGCAGTAAATCTTTAAGGAAGCTGACTGGTACATCTTACTCCCGTGGAGTGGCTGGTGGGTTTTAGCTGCTGACCTTTTGTTTAGCAGCCAAGCTCTTAACCACTGCACCACCAGGGATCTGCAAAGTATTGAAGCTGTTATTGAGTATTGAAGTGGGGGGTCAGATTTGTGTTCCTGGGCAAACAAATTTGAGAAATTCATACAAAGAGCTCTGAGAAATCCTACAGCAAGGAGACATGTCTCGTTTTTCTTAAACCGGCATTCCTCAAACGTGCTTGACCACAAAAATACCACCAACAGTGGAGAAAATTGTGGTTGTTGTGTGCCATCAAGTACATTCTGACTCACACTGACCCCACGTGGCAGAGGAGAACTGCCCCACAGGGTTTCCTAAGCTGTAATCTTTACGGGAGCAGATCTACTGCTCTCTCTTCCCATGCAGTGGCTGGTGGGTCCAAACCACTACCTTTCAGTTAGCCGGGGCGTGTTTAACCACTGTGCCACGGGGACCCCTTCAGAGAAAGCTTAGTGCCTAGCAAACCCCAGTTTGCTAGGACTGTGCCATTAATATGAAATCATCATGGGAGGAGTTCTTTTAAAAAGGCTGTAAAAGTTTATTAGGCTTTCTATAAAAGTTAACAAACAAAATTGTAAGTTTTGACTCTCAAGGGTGTGAAAACTTGTTTATTTGGAACGTATGATTCCCCAAAATCTTGGAGAAAGAGACTTTGGTCTCTCTTTTTCCAACTTTTCCCACTTGCTGGAGAATTACTGACCTGTAAACTCCGAAACTTGCCAAGCACACTTCACAGCCAGTGTGGTTACGGGCTGTGAGCTGAGGCATCACTGATACACAGACAGCTTGTGGAAAAGCAGCATTCACAGGTGATTAAACGCTACAAAGAGCAGACAGCAGAATCGCAGGTGCCTACAAAACTTCATGTAGCCAAGGTCTCATCATCTCTGTGGGGCAGAAGCGGTGGTTACAGGTCTTACTGAGAAGAGGGAAAGCACAGATAATTCCTGACCCTCCCTGTTGTTATAAACACCCTTTCTGGTACATATGTTTATCAATTTGTTGACAAAAGAAATGGATCACAGAGGTTGCCTTGTATAAGGGAATGAGCTCCGGATTAAATCAAGAGATTTAGGTTCTAATTTGGTCTAGGTCGTTATCTAGCCAAGAATTCATTTTTTCTGATTATCTTGTTCTAATATTCACCATCATTCATTCTTCTTCACATCTAGTCATAGAACAGTTGCTGTCAAGCCAGTTCTGCCTCATGGAGAATCCACATGTTTCAGAATACAGCTGTGCTCCATAGGGTTTTCAATGGCTGATTTTCTGGAAGTAGATTGCCAGGTCTTTCTTCCAAGGCACCTATGGGTGGACTCGAACCTCCAAACTCTCAGTTAGCTGTCAAGTGTCTCAACCATTTACACCAACCAGGGACTCCCACCTAGTCAAGGTGTAGGTTAAAAAAGTAACCACTAATCTCAGATCACAGAAACAAAGATGTCTTCTTAATAAACGGTGTTGGGACGCTACAAAGCCATTTGAAAAAAGATACAATTAGATCCATTCATCAAATCATACACCAGAGTAAACTGAAAGTAGATCAAGATTAAAAAGTAAAAAATGAAACTATAGAGGCAGTGGAATATAATGAGTAAATCCTATAAAACATGGGTATGGGAAAATGATTTCTAACTATGATTAAAAGTCCAGAAGTTAAAAGAAAAGATTATTAAATTTTGGTTATACAAATATAAAAATTTTTGAATCACCAGGGGGATAAAAAAAACCCTGTATGCAACATTAAAAGACAAACAGCAAATTGAGAGAAAATATTTGCAATATATTTCATAAATAAAGGGCTAGTATCCCTAATTTCTGAAGACTTTGTTAATTGACGGGAAAAAGGACCAAAAATCTGATAGAAAAAAAAAAAAAGATGGGCAAAAGATATGAAGAGACAATTCACAAAATTAATAAATATGGTCCTTAAACACACAAAAAATGTTGAACTTTACTCATATTAGGGTATATGTAAATTAAAGCAACACCAAGATACCATTTCTCACGAATCAGACTGGCAACAACTCAAAAGCTTGACAATACACTCTGTGGTTGAGGTTGCTAGAGAGGAATTTGGCGCTACCCACAAACCACTTACTCATAACCCAGAATTTCAACTTCTAGGGCAATACCTTGAAGATACACCTCCAAGAAGATGAAATGGGCCCGAAGAGCCCGCGGAGCCCGGCGCCCCGCTGCTGGGGAGGGAGGCGGGAGCCGGCTAGGGGGCGCTGGGCTGCAGTTGGGGGGCATCTCCCTGGCCTGGCCCCATCGGCCCCTCCTCACTAACCAGCCCCACCGCCGCCACGGTGGCAGGGGCTCCCTCGCCGCCTCCTTGCTCGGCCCGAGACGAGCCAGCCCTGAGCTCCCCGGAACCTGCCAGCCCAGGCGCCACTGGGCGACTGTCGGGGGACACCTGGGACGCTGCCCCGGATGGAGCAGCTGTGGCGGAAGCACGGGAACACGAGGGCCACGTGCTGTGGGCAGCCAGGGACACGGTATCCGGTGTCCTGTATGTGAAGAAAGAGGAGATAGCCCCTTTTTCAATAACCACTGTGACGGTAATCTCCTTGGGGAAGGGTGAACTTTTGCTCAGTTTTAAAACTGATCAGCTGAAGAACTCATTGACATATGCTGAGCAACGTTTGATGGCAGAGAAAACCATGACAGACTTTCTCCACACAGGAAGGAACGGATTGCCGGTTGGACTTGTATTCATCCAGCCCAGCCACCAATGAGAGAAGTTCTGCAGAATTTCAAATTCTCGTGGAATCCAGATTTTCTGGAGTCACAGAGGCTGGATGAACTCCTGAAGCTACTGCCCTCGGATAATCTTTAGGCCTTAAACCAACAATATCCCCTGAAGTCTTCTTAAAACCAAACAGTAGTTTAGCTTAACTAGTAAAGAATGTCTGCCTTGAGCACTGTGCTCTGTTAAGATCTATCTATCTGAGATGGATGGGATCAAATTTACACCAGCAACTGGAAAGATTAGATAGGAACCTTAAGGGGCAGTGAATTTATGTGAATGGGGGGGAAACAAGTCAAAAAAGGAGTGAGAATGTTGCACAACCCAAAGAATGTAATCAAAGTCACTGAATTCTACATGTAGAAACTGCTGAACTGGTGTATGTTTTGCTGTGTATGTCTCAACAACAACAACAAAATAAATTATTTAAAAAAAGGATCTATCTACATGGGATCAAATAGACAACAGCAACTGGAAAGATTACATACGAAACTTAGCGGTAGTGAGTTTATGTTAATGGGAGAGGAAAAGTCAGAACAAGGAGGGTGAGAACGGTTGCACAGTTCTAAGAACGTAATCTGTGTCACTGAATTGTATATGTGGAAACTGTTGAATTGCTGTGTGTTCTGCTGTGCATATTCTGAACAACAACAAAAATAAAATATTAAAAATGATACAAATATGAAAAAAAAGAAGAAATGATGAACTGAAAGAGCTGAACAGAAGATTTCAAAGGGTGGTTCAAGAAGACAAAGTAAAGTATTAAAATGAAATGTGCAAAAACCTGGAAATAGAAAACCAAAAGGGAAGAACACACTCGACAAGCTGAAAGAACTCAAGAAAAAATTCAAGCCTTGAGTTGAAATACTGAAGGAGTCTATGGGCAAAATATTTAACGAGGCAAGAAGTTATCACCAAGAAGATGGAAGGAATACACAGAATCACTGGACCAACAAGAACTGGTCAGCGTTCAACCATTTCAGGAGATAGCATATGATCAAGAACTTATGGTACTAAAGGAAGAAATCCAACCTGCACGGAAGGCATTGGCAAAAAACAAGGCTCCAGGAACTGACGAAATACCAACTGAGATGTTTCAACAAACAGATGCAGTGCTGGAAGCACTCACTCATCTATGCCAAGAAATTTGGAAGACAGCTACCTGGCCAACCAACTGAAAAACATCCATACTTGTGCCCATTCCAAAGAAAGGTGATCCAACAGAATGTGGAAATTATTGAAAAACATCACATGCAAGTAAAATTTTTCTCAAGATCATCCAAAAAACGGTTGCAGCAGTACATCCACAGGTAACTGCCAGAAATTCAAGCCAGATTCAAAAGAGGATATGGAACTAGGGATATCATTGCTGATGTCAGATGAATCTTGGCTTAAAGCAGAGAATACCAGAAAGATGTTTACCTGTGTTTTATTGACTATGCAAAGCCATTCGGCTGTGTGGATCATAACAGGTTATGGATAACATTGTGAAGAATGGGAATACCAGCACACTTCATTTGTGCTCATGAGAAACCTGTCCATAGACCAAGAGACAGTCGTTTAAATAGAACAAGAGCATATTGCATGGTTTAAAAATCAGGGAAGGTGTGTATCAGGGCTGTATCGTGTCACCATACTTACTCAATCTGTATGCTGAGCAAATTAATCCAAGAAGCTGGACTAAAAGAAGAACATGGCATGAAGACTGGAGGAAGACTCATTAACAACCTGTGATATGCAGATGACACAACCTTGCTTGCTGAAAGTGAGGAGGACTTGAAGTACTTACTGATGAAGATCAAAGACTACAGCCTTCAGTATGGATTACACCTCAACATAAAGAAAACAAAAATCCTCACAACTGGACCAATAAGCAACATCATAACAAATGGAGAAAAGTTTGAAGTTGTCAAGGATTTCATTTTACTTGGATCCACAGTCAACATCCATGGAAGCAGTGGTCAAGAAATCAAACGACATATTGCACTGGGCAAATATGCTGCCAAAGACCTCTTTCAAGTGTTGAAAAGCAAAGCTGTCACTTAAAGGACTAAGGTGCACCTCACCCAAGCCATGATATTTTCAATCGCCTCATATGCATGTGTAAGCTGGACAATGAATAAGGAAGACCAAAGAAGAATTGATGCCTTTGGATTATGGTGTTAGCTAAGAAGATTGAATATACCATTCACTGCCAAAAGAACAAACAAATTTGTCTTGGAAGAAGTACAGCCAGAATGCTCCTTAGAAGCAAGAATGGTGAATCTATGTCTCACATACTTTGGACATGTTATCAGGAGGGACCAGTCCCTGGAGAAGCACATCATGCTTGGTAAAGTAGAGGGTCAGCGAAAAAGAGGAAGACCCTTAATGAGATGGACTGACACAGCGGCTAGGCCAATGGGCTCAAACATGTCAATGACCGTAAGGATGACGCGGGACCAGGCAGTATTTCGTTCTGTTGTACAGAGGGTCGCTATGAGTCGGAACCGACTCCACAGCACTTAACACAAGAAGAAGGAGATATGGCAACTACATGTAATACCTGATCCTGGACTAGATTCTCTACTGGAGAGCAGGGGCAAGGAATATAAAGCACATAACTGGGCCATCTGATTATAGTAGTAGATTATAAAGTTTGAGTCAAAGCTAGACATAATGAAGACAGAGGAGGAAGGGGAATGATCAAATGTTAGCAATAGTTGAATCTGGATGAAGCGTTCTTGTTGTGTGCTGTCTAGTTGATTCTGACTCATAGCAACCCTATATGACAGAGTAGAACTGCCCCATAGGGTTTCCTAGGCTGAAATCTTTACAGGAGCATATCGGAACGCCTGGTCTTTTCTCCCATGGAGCTGTTGGTAGGTTCAAACCACAGAGCTTTTTGATTCGCAGCCAGTGCTTAACCACTGTGCCACCAGGCCACCTTGGCTAATAGGTATATATGGGTATTATTTGGACATTTTTGTAACTTTTTTATAAGTTTGAAATCATTTCCAAATAAAACTTTAAATAAAAAATAACCACCAGAAAAGAGAAGGAAATAACGTAGTAATTGAGAATGAGAACTATTTTCTAATAGCATTTGAGAATAAATAAATTAAGCCCACGCTATTTCAAACCATATAATATTTA